AGAGAGAGAGAGAGAGAGAGAGAGAGAGAGTATGACGTTATTATTTCTAGACAATTTTAAAACAAAAGATTTTTTTATTACAATACATTTTAGCAAATAGAATAACAAAGAATGAACAAAGTAACAGCTATATAAATAAATCTCGCGAGCGGTGAGCATCTCTGGCGTACGAGTATAATTGTACAAGTATAATAATTATGTACGACGAACGTTTGACTTTCGAGGCCGACAAGAGCAGACAGCAGTCCAAAAGGTCATAATAATATAGATATATATGTAAATACTCTATCCAAATCCAGTTTATGCACGAAAATGCAAAGGGGACTCGACTGACAGATTACGAGCTCTAATCGATTCAGGAAACGATCCCCTTAGGACAACCGACTGAGAATACTTTCGATAACTAACGCAAAACGTAACTTTCAATTTACGTTACTTACTCGGTCGTGGATGTCTTTCGGGCTCGCCGCTCTTCTCCCTGTGCTCCTTATCCTTGTCTTTCATCTCTTTCTCTTTCTCCTTGACAAAAGAAAACAAATTTCTTGATACGTCCGTTCCGACTGATGCAATATCGAAATTTCCTCCATATTATTTCATAGATATCAATATGAATATATATATATATATATATATATATATATATATATATATGCACGAGTGTATGTATATAAAAGATATTTCTTCTAAAATATATATAATTAAAATTCATGTTTCTTCCCCTTTCAAAATGTCTTTAATACGTAAACACAATTAATTGGAATGTAATATGTTTTATACATATACAACAATAATTATGATGTGTTACAAATAATACCTTTTAATTCTAAGTGTTCTTTATAAATCAATAATATACCTTAGCATCCTTGGTAACAGACGGTGCACGAGGAGGCTGACGTTTAGGCGATCTGCGATCGGTGACGGTCGGTCCGAGGCTCTGCGAGCGTCCGGTTCTCGGACTATTTTTCGGACTGGACTTGGTTCGTGGTTGAATCTCGTCCCGATGCTCCTTAACATCATCACGTCGCCGTGGTATCACGGGCTCCAGTTTCTCTCTCGTTGGAGAGGGAAGCAGTGCACCGTCACCTTGAATGACATTTTTTCAGAACAATTTATAAAAACACGAGGAAAAAAGCAAAATATAATGTTTACATGCATATATAATTTATTCGTTTGTTGATATAAATATAGATTATCTTCGACAAGACAATAAAGATATACAATTATTATCTTGTTGTTATATTAATTAATTTTATTTATGTATGAACCACGTACCCACACCAGTTGTACGATCGAGATGGTGGCGAATCAAGAAATCCTTTCTTGCGCGAGCGATGGCTCGATCAGTATCCTACAGCAAAATTGTATTAGAAATATAATTAGGTGTATTGTGTTGTTTGTGAATTCACAAGTATATCCAATTATTGGCCTTTTTAATAATATTTACTTTTACAAATATTATACATATTTCTTTGTATCATATGCTACTGAAAATAATGGAATTTTCCTGAAGTTAAATTTATTTCATTCTGATCATAATACAAAATATAAAATAATTGAGCTATAGTTTCAGTAACTTTCCCAATTATTATCCTACATATGAATATATATCCTTCGTCAATTCAATGTCAAACAATAAACGATAAACAATATTGATTTATTTATATGACTATATTTTTCTTTAAAAAAAGACATTAAATTACAAAAGATAGCAGTTGCAAAATAATAGTCGAGAACAATAGTTTTAAGATCGTTCATAAATTAAAAAGAAAAAAATAATCCTTGAATCTCGTTTTAAAATAATGAAAAAATCAGTTGCATCGTCTCGATTCTCGACTTCAAGATACTTCAACAATGTTCAATAGAAATCAATTCTATGAAAGGATAAACTACTCGATAGGATATTTGCGTACTGCCTTAGTATCGTCTTGTATTATGCCGTGGATTGGTCTAGCTTGTACCGAGGACGGTCGACCCGCCGGTGGCATAGTAGTAATCGGTGCGACCTTCCTCGTGTTCTCCTTTTCTTTCTCCTCTTTGGTGACCGACCTGAACAATTGATCAAAAAGAGATTCTATGATGATCATATTAAGCCGGTTATCGATTCGTTCGAATCGATAAAGTGAACTAGCTAACTACGACGGAATCCGTGTGAAGGTGCGAGCACGCTCGAATTCTCACGAGTGCTCTTATTTATTTTGCGTGAATAACGCAAATCCGTGATAAACGACGTTTACGATCGCACAGTGGATACAACGTGTGTGGACGACGCATGTAATTCAAAGCCAGGTGTTTGGTGCATTTATGTCTATCGAATATAAGAATTTCGAGTGATTTAAATGCAATCCTATTAGAGATTCATCTATTTAATGACAACTATTTAATGACAACCTTCAAAATGGCAGATAGAATTAAGAGTGCAAGTTTCTTGAAACGATACACACGTGTGTTCAAAGTGCGTTCATGGTACAGTGTAGTTGAATTCACACACATATTTCTAAAAATGTTTCGCGTTATTTCAAATTGAATTTCTTGTTTATGATCTATTTCATATTTTTGAAAAAAAACCATGCAAAAGTAAAAAAAAATACGAATCCATAATAAACTTGATCGACAGAGTTCTTAGTAGTATTTTAAAATGCTTATCATTATTAAATTGACAGTTAATTTAATTTGAAATATTATTTCAGCTTCGGTTTATGATTGCTTTTCAAGTCTGACAGTAATCGACGCGCAGTTTATTTAGCTGAAAGATGTATATAATATTTATATAAAAATATGTACACCAATATTCAGCCTCAACCGTATTTAGCACTTTTTATTTACTTTTATTATTTACATTGCGGTCTAGTTTAACTTATTGTTTATCGACGAAATTTCCCAGTAGTTAAAATTCGAAAGCAGAAATTCTGCTGAACAAACGTACATTTAAAACGAATAATTAATACTAGATATTCTATGACAGCAATATTTTCTGGCAAGTTATTACGCGATAACCAACTATGCATTTCCACAAAACATTTCGTTGATAAATTGATGTGAAAGAATGTATCGCGAAGAATGAATCGTGATTGTTAAACAACTCCAACAAACCAACAAACGTTGTTACGTAACAACAGTAGTGAGAACAACAGTGACAACAACAGTAATAAAAACGAGTTTCTCGTTGGAAAATGATGGAGTATAGTGTACTGGCCTGGCAAGGGATAGGGCGTTGAGCGCGTGGTTACTGGAGACTCGTTTCCACAGCGAAGCTTCGTCCTCGGCTGCCAGACCGCAACCCCAGTCACGATGCTAACGCAAAGCAAAATGTATCAGCATCCATCCGTCTGTGTGTCTGTATTGTTATTTCCATGAACATCTAATCAAACTGAGTGACGCGCCGATATATTTTAAGAAAAGGGTAACACTAAAAACTGGTAACATTAAAAACGTCACATCGAGTCAATCAACATCAACTTTGATTAAGTCTTTCACCCTATCTTTAAACGAATTATCTTAAAATATTGTTTTCTTTAATCTTTAGTAAGATATTTTCATGAACATATATATTGAAATGAGATATTCAAAAGAATGATAGTTATTTACTTTTTTTCGATCTTAATATTTTATAATAAACATTATTTTTATCACAATTCATAATGTATACTACATTTCATAAGTTTTATAACAAAAGATTTATTAAATTCTTAAAAAAAAAATTGAAAATAAAATTTTAGCAAAATAAAAGTGAAACTATTGCCACGAGCTTAGTACTCTTTTTTTAACTATACATAAGAATTTTAATTCTGTTTCAAAAAGAACAGTCTTGTAACTTTATTTAATATAAAGCTTGACGGAATAACTTCGGAATCTTTTTCGACATAATCAAGCAAGTTGAACTTGCATCCAATATCTTTATTTAAAAAATTCATTTTTAAATTAGAATTTGCGTAATTAAAAATTCGGTTGTCATAGAATTCTACATAGTCGGCTTAATCAAAATTAATAAATCGATGACAATCAATGCTACATTAAGAAAACATACAAAACATGCTAGGAAGACACTAAAATACCTTGCTCAGACGATGAAATTTTGGGACTGCACTCTCGAAATCGCGGAAATCGGTTTAGGATTAATTTCGAAGGGGAGTTTTCATTAAAAAACCACATTAAATAAAACAACCGACTAAATAAATAATTAACTGAGCAGTTTCTATCAAATATCTTATGAGACGAGATATATATGATCGGAAATTATTTCAATTGTATTAAATATGTGTTGTTATTTAAAGCAGACACCTAATTTGGCAGACTTTCGATTGGACTTTCGTTGTTACAGATGACATCACAGAAGAAAGGAGTTAAAACAAAACATGCAATCTCGACGACTGTCATTCGCCGATACACAAACACTGACACATAAACTCGATGACCCTAACAATCAGATCAATCGAGCAAAACAAAGAGATCGAACGAAGGATTCATGTAAAGATGGACGAATACGACATGGGGAAAACTGGCTTGAAATAAGAATTCGAATAAGAATCCCGGTCCCCGATTTTAAAGCGACGAAACATCTCCCACGGATTACCTTGTACTCGTCAGCGAGTCGCCGGAGCTCGATCACTTCCGCCGTGGGAAATGGTCTCGCCTTTGATTTTTCCGGCACTTTATTGTCCGATATCCGCACGGTTCTACCTGACTTTTTACCCCTGCAAACAATCAATTTTACGTGTAATGATCACGTAATCGTCGCGTCGCGTTGTCGTCGCGTCTTCACACCGATCAAGATCGTCGTAGATGCCTTTTTTATTTTCTGTTTTTTTTTTTAATGTTTCCTCTTTCATGAGGATATCAAATCTTTTTACATGAAAAGCCGTACTAACATATCCGACTATAACAATCTGACCTGAAAGCTACTTTCAAATCCGACAGATCCTCTTCGCGTTCATCGCCCTCTGGTACCACACCGTCGATCATGTCCGTACCAATGCCACCCACCAATGGCTCCAGTTCCGATGCTTGGACCCCTGGGGAATATATAGAAATATGCTGAATACGCTTTTGTGTTTGTGTGTGTGTGTGTGTGTATGTAAATATAATATATAAATGTGCAATATAATGAGATTAGTTTCTTTTTATGAATATATTCGTTATATTCGAGTTATATTACATTATTACAACAAAATTCAATGACATAATGGTAAACAAGTGCAAATTTCTGATATTGAAGAAATAATACTAATTATCATAGCGCTCTCTCTCTCTCTCTCTCTCTCTCTCTCTCTCTCTCTCTCTCTCTCTCTCTCGCTTGCGCGCGCACGCGAATAGCGGCATATTGTAATTTGTAATCAGAAAACTTTATTCTACTCCACACCCATTACTCCGCCACTTTCTACGATTTAATGCTGGATTCTCTTTAACAAAAATATTGAATAGTAGAAAGAAAGACGAAAAGAAAGAGGCAATAATTTTTAAAAGTTACAAAAATGTGATATTTGACAAATTCAAGACTCGCAACGCAGGATTCGAATTAATCCTGAAAACAATTTGTCGTGGTATTCGATAAGTACCATCGCGCTTGTGATCAAAGTCGCCGGGTCGTTTCTTGTGTACCGGCGCGGGTCCAGAAGGCACCATGCCCTGTTTAAGCGCACCCATGCTGAGCGACTTCCTCGGTGGGCCCGTAGTACCTCCGGGAACCCCCGCAGCTGGAACCGGCGCCTGAGTTTCGCCATTTGTCAACTGCGGTCTTCTAGGCCAGGCGAACTGCAGCCGGTACTCGGTACTGATACGAGATATCGCCTTGCTAAGCTGACTTGGTGGCAGTGCCGACGTTGCTGTAACTTCCTATGATTTGAAGACCGATATTTCAAACTTAATTGACCTCTTCTCCTAGAATTTTCTTATTGCACGTGAAATCTTAGACATATAATTCACATATAAAGGTATTTATTTTATTTCGTACTCGTCAGATTGTACATACAGATGCTGTTATAAGTTGTAAAGAATTACAAAGAGTTATTAATATATTAACAACACTCCTTACCCGTACTTTATCAGCTACGACATTCGAGTCGATGGCGTCGATACCACCGCCATCCGCTGCCGTGATAAATTCGTGCGTCCTGTAAGCGAGCTCCGGACATTTCTTTCGCCTGGGCAATGGTGGTTCCAAGGTGGGCCCTGCAAAATTTACATAGTCTAAATCATAATCTCTTCCTTCTTTTCTAAAATTTAGAATGTTATTTCTTCATCAGATTTCTCGATTATATTTATTCAATTATCTAACTGTATTTAGAGCTAACATTTCCGACTATAATTTGATAAAAAATATCTTCTGTAAATTGTTTTAACAACATTTATTTAATCGGTTTTTCCTTTAAAAAAAAAGTAATAGAATCTTTTCAGATAATTAATAAAAAATTGATACTCCCGGGAATGAATCTACAAACTAATTACAATTTCCGATAGAGAGTTATTATTCACGCTTCTTTTAAATCCATCGTATCATTCCTCAAGTAATAATAATTTGTTAGTATACTTATACAAGTTTACAAGTTTGTACCGGTAACAGAAAATAATTTTCAATAATCGAGAAACCTTAAAGAAGTTTCAATCAACTTTCCAAGCATGATTGCATAAGCAAGATAAACACAGATGCCACTACATTAAAAAAATTCGCTGTAATAACAAAAATAAATATAACGAGAAATTGCGAGAGATCATTTTTGCGGCATTTTAATATTAAACGAAATAATCTCTAGAAAAACACTGGTGGAAAAAGAGAGCGGTTTTAAGCAACATGCAGGAAAATCTTGGGGAAGCAAGTGGAACACGACATCAAGCGATGATGATAAAAAATAGGGGTTGTACAATGAAGAAATTGAATATGTTCTTTGTGATAAAACTTTTGCATCGATTTTACGATTCCAATGACGATATAGGCGCGTTTGTTAATTTATCATTCTTGTGTGATTCATTCGAGCGCTTTGTTCACGTCTTGCACCCTCCGGTTTTCCTTCGTGCATAACAGCTTCTGCATAATAGCTTCTTAAAGGTGGAGGGGTGATTTAGTGACGAACAATGTAAGCAACTTATTTCATTCTTCTTGCCTCCCCTATTAGCTGCTTAATAATCGGTTCTATATAACCAAGATGATCAAATTTCTATAAGCCTTTCTAATTAACTGCTATTGGTATTTATTTGTTTACTTTCGCGTGACAAAGTTTTTATTATAGGACTCTCTTACAGAAAATTTAGCGTGATTAAAATTTGAATTAAAGATGTAACAAAATTTCGTTTAAATCTCATCTCTTAGTTTTATTGTCAACATAATACACGTACGATAACTAAATTAACTGGGATCTATGATTTTATTCTTTCAATTTTTATCGAGTTTATAAAGAATAATCGATAAAAATTGAAAGAATAAAATATAAATACCACGTGAAATCTATTGTCAGTACTTGGTATTTATATTTTTTAAATCAATATTTTTTATATAAAAAGAAATCTTATCTCTTACAAATTTTGTATAAAAATATTAAAATCTGTTTATTAATTTAAATTTGAAAAGATTTTTTAAGTTTCTTTTAATTTCTTGCTTAAAAACTGTAACGACCTCAACATCGTATATTAAAAGGCAAAATTAATCATTATCTTGGTTGATGTTGATAACATCAGAAACGTAAGCTCAAAATATGTGATAATAAGCTTTCATTGAAATTAATTTAAAATGGAAGAGAAATATAAAACTTGAAAAAAGAATAAATTTGCTTCATAAAAGTAAAAACTTGAAAAAAGCACATACATTTGCTTCATAGATCTCATAACGGCGACATAATGGCAAACATGACACTCTGCACACGTTTATTGCAGCATATATGTTATGTGTAAATAGTCATTTCGCTATTATTTGTATACGAGTCTCAGCAGCAAACACAACGGTATGAATCGCTCTGTATGTCGTTTCGTTATTATCTCTCCGAGTTATATTTTTTCCCAGTACAGACGGATAAACATTACAGCAGAAAAAAAAATCTTTCAAAAAAGAAAGAAGAACGTAAACAATATATTATGAACAAATAGCATTATTACTCATGCAATTAATTAACTCCAGTGATTAGCGATTCGTTGTGTCGAAGCAACATTTTGTGCGATTCATTTACTTGATGTAAGAATTAAGATTAGAAGTAAAGCATAACAATCGTATTAATTAAAGCATAAAAATCGCATAATTATTAAATAATATATTTACAGATGATATATTACCATAACGATGCTTGGATTATTTCACATCGTGTTTTGAACACTTCAAATACCTTTGAAACTATAAAATTTCATTCAAAATTTTAAATCTTTGGTTAAAAAACTTGTTTTTTATTTTTTACTATTTTAACAATATCGGCTTAAAAACATAAAAGTTGATTTTTAAGAGGTGTTTTAATCGTTTAATGTGCGTGCTTATAAAAACATCTGCCTTTTTAAAGACACTTATAGAAATATATTTTTTATTTTAAGACTCTTATTTAAGATGCGTGCAATCTTATTTAAGTTACTTGCGTATGTTTTTTTGACAGTAAAAGTAATATAAAAGTAAGGATAAATGATGGAAATGATTTTTTTTTTTTAATAAAAGAGGAATTGTCTCCAAGTTTGGTAAAGATATAGATACGTGTAAATAAAGTATTATCTATAACTTTTTTCTCGGATTATTGTAAGTGTTTCTAAAATTGTATGGTATATGTACGTGTATCGCATTGAATAGATATGTATAATGTATATATGTAATATTGCAAAGTAACTATACATTTTAATTATATCAGGTTTCAGTTTGCTTTTCAGTTAAGTATAGACTCAGTTAATCTCTAATTAACATAATTATTAAAGTGTCTGCATCTCTTCAAATAACGAAATTCTATTCTAAATATAGTTAATTTGGAATATACTTAATAATGAAAAATACTCGAGTATATTTTATACTCGTTTCTTGAAATTAGAGCTCAAGTAAAAAACTATAAAAAAAAATCTCTTTAGGATACTTCTATTTCGATACTAATGCAAATCATATACGAACACATTTTATTTAAAAGACGATCAAAAGACGAGGCAGCAGTTCGCATCAATTGTATTTTTTCGTATTTTTCTTCTGGAGTTTTTTCTTTCGTTTTATGTACGGACAATATCCTAATGCGTGATAAATATACCAAATATACAGTGATCTTTTCGAAAAACAGCGAAATATAGATCACGTGTAAGGAGTCACATAATAAGCGTGTGTCTCCCGGCATTGTGTATAAATCAAACCAGTCGCGTTTTATTTCCGTTTGCCGAGACACGTTCGCAAAGAATACGTTCTACGTTCAACTGTATTATTTTTATGGTTCAATGTCGATGGCAGCGAGGTACATGTATAGAATCGATGTAATATGCTGTACTCTGTATACGTCAGTAAGTAGGCGTAACCATTCAGTGCCGTTTTACCGACGTCTCTTACTCATAGTATGTCTTATTTACTGAACGGTTCAACGAACACGAACTAAATGAAGCAAAGAAAATATAATTATATGACTCGAATTTACTTCGATTTTAATCATTAAATATGATGAGTATAATATATTCTGTTAATTTAAACGTTCCGATAAAAAAATAGAAAGGTTTAAGAAAATATTTCATTGTGAGTACAGAAATCTTTAAATAAATATTTCAATCAAATATGACTCATCAATATTCAGATATAAATTAAATTTTCACCACAATAAGCTTCATTAAAAGTGATTGTAAAAACAGATTGTAATGCATTTCAGATCGATGCTATAGAGAGAAAAATTACTAAAAAAAGCATTCGATCAAATAATCAAAATCCGAATTAAATTCTTTTTATCGGTAAAATTTACTACATAGATTAAAAATCAAACAGGACGTAAGGATGCGGGCTATCCTTGCCGCAAAAATTCAAAAGTAATTGCTCTTTCACATATCTATACCCGCATTAAAAAGTAAAGCTAATTATCTTTTGATACTTTTTGTTAGAATTTCATTCTTACTAGCCGTTTAAATATGTATAAAAACGCCCAATTACAACATAATACTACGTCAGAATAACATCGATTTTGTGTCACAGCAAACCGTATCCGTATCCGAATTCGGTTATACGAAATATGGAAAATTCGAGCAACGCGCAATTGTGAATCTGAACCCCGTATTCGTTGATGCATCACGATTCAGCTTCGATCAGAATAATGTCGACGGCTGAGAGGATTTCCGTACCTATCAACAGCTGACGGTAAATGATAAGCCCGCAGTCTCAATAATGCTCCCTCTCTTTCCTTGATTCACCCGTAAATCAATTATATCGTCACGGCGGCGTTTGCGGTCCATCGAATCAATTAAATGATTTTCAAATTATTTTGGAATGTGTATAAGATGTTAAATTTTGCAATTTTGAATAAAAAAATTTTGCAAATTTAATAGTTTTTTTAACAAAGACCTGCATAAACTACATTAGTTCACTAAATATTCAATAATTATTACAAATGAAATCTTTCTGCTTGTAAACTGTACCAAGTAATGCATTATAATACATTAAAATATAATTATTTATGAAAGATATTATACACAAAATATTATAATGTGCAAAATATTTATAAAATATTTCGGATATCTATAAAAAAATTTTAGCTACATACATAATTACAAAAATTACTTTTCTAAAATTATAATATTAAATATATAAGCAACTAAATATTATATATAGTCTTGATATGCTGAATATCGAAATTCATTTCAAAATAAGCACTGTTACAAATATAGATTCTTTTACAATTTTTTACTGATGTCATATTTTATATTAATTATTTTTAAATATCCATTATTTGTCAAGATAAATTATATTTATTTTCACAGTAATGTACAAATACTTGATTAGAATGTCTAAAATTCTACTGAATTATAAAAGCAAAACGAAAACATCAAATATAATTGCCGGTGACTTCTAAAAGTAGTTCAGAGTATTATTAATTGTAATTGAATAGTTCGCAATCTTATAATTAACTGTTCGTACTGCTAAGAAAGTTAGAACTGAAAAAAGTGGAATGAAAAAATATTCGTTACAATTATCACTTATTCGACGCGAAATATATTGTAGGTATTATGACAGACGATTTAACAGTCGATAATTAATG